GTTGAGGTTAGACGAGTGAATGATAGATTGATGAATATTAAGTTGGTGGTTGGAGAGTGCACCCTAAACATCGTTAGTGCCTATGCGCCGCATGTGGGCCTAGATGAGGAGGTTAAACGGCGCTTCTGGGAAGGGTTAGATGAGATTGTGCGCCAGGTTCCGCCTACTGAAAAGCTATTCATAGGAGAGGATTTTAATGGGTATATTGGGTCGACCGCAGGTGGTTATGGCGAGGTGCATGGAGGCTTCGATTTTGGGGAGAGGAACAGAGGAGGTACATCGTTGTTGGACTTCGCTAAGGCTTTTGGGTTGGTGATTGCGAACTCTAACTTTCGGAAGAGGGAGGGGCATTTGGTTACTTTTCAAAATACGGTGGCGAAAACCCAGATTGACTATCTCCTCCTCAGGAGGTGTGACAGAGGGTTGTGCAAGAATTGCAAGGTGATTTCGGGTGAGATACTCGCGACGCNCTCTTGAGTCTAAGGGTTTCAAGATGAGCAGGACGAAGACGGAATACCTGGAGTGTAAGTTCAGTGCTGAGCCAGGGAAAGTGGGCGTGGATGTGAGGCTTGATTCGCAGGTCATCCCAAGAAGAGGCAACTTCAAGTACCTTGGTTCAGTTATCCAGGGGGGAGGGGAGATCGATGAGGATGTCACACACCGTATTGGGGTAGGATGGATAGAGTGGAGGTTAGCATCTGGAGTCCTGTGTGACAAGAGAGTGCCACCGATACTCAAAGGTAGGTTTTATAAAGCGGTGGTTAGACCGGCCATGATGTATGGGGCTGAGTGTTGGCCCGTTAAGAAATCACATATCCAGAAGATTAAAGTAGCAGAAATGAGGATGTTGCGGTGGATGTGCGGGCACACTAGGATAGATAAGATTAGGAATGATAATATTCGGGAGAAGGGGCATGTGGCTCCCATTGATGACAAGATGCGGGAAGCGAGGCTTACATGGTTCGGACATATTCAGAGGAGAAGCCCAGATGCTCCGGTACGGAGGTGTGAACAGCTGGTTGCGGAGGGCACGAGAAGAGGTAGAGGGCGGCCTAAGAAGTATTGGGGAGAAGTGATCAGGCAGGATATGGTGAGGCTCCAGATTCCCGAGGACATGACACTTGATAGGAAGATGTGGAGATCGAGTATTAGGGTTGTAGGTTAGGAGGTAGTTGAGTCGTGCCTTACTTCATACCATTGTGGGACTAGCCATGTAGGGTTTTTGTCTAAGATAGCTAGTGGTAATGTTGTGGCTGACTATTTCGCTTTTCAGTGCATATTCTATTTACTAGCTATTGCTTTTTCTTTGCATCTTTCTTCTAGATTTCATGGTGTTCCTATTTTTCTTATGATTGTTGTGGTGATACTAATATTGTCTCCCTTTGCTTTGCATCTTTCTTCTGGATTTCATGGTGTTCCTATTTATCCTATGATTGTTGTTGTGATACTAATATTGTCTCCTTTTTGTCCTTTTTTGTCCTTTTGTCTTTTTATTTTTTTGAGCCGAGGGTCTTTCGGAAACAGCCTCTCTACTCCTTCGAGGTAGGGGTAATACCCTCCCCAGACCCCATTAGTGAAATTTTACTGGGTTGTTGTTGTTGTTATTTTCTTTGTGCAACGAGTAATCGTTCTACAGCGAATGAATCAGGTTGCAGACTAGTTGAATGATTTCACTCAAGTGTGTTTTTTTCGTTCTGAACTGCCATCACAAGTTAGAGGTTTCATAAATACGGACAGGTTGAGTCTCAATCCCTGCTATTCGCATTGCTAACAGCTGATTCATGAAATTGGATACCTCATTCCTTTTACAGGTTTGTCGAATGTATTTTCTTCAGCTCTCTGTGTATCAAAAAGAGGTCGGAGGGAAGAGGGGTTGCTCTGATGGTAAGCAACCTTCACTTCCAACCAAGAGGTTGTGAGTTTGACTCACCCAAGAGCAAGGTGGGGAGTTCTTGGAGGGAAGGATGCCGAGGGTCTATTGAAAACAACCTCTCTACCTCATGGTAGGGGTAAGGTCTGCGAACACACTACCCTCCCCAGACCCCACTAGTGGAATTATACTGGGTTGTTGTTGTTGTCGTCTCTCGGTATCAAAGATAGTCTAGGCTATCATTAGGGTTAGACAAGGGCTATGTTTACATAACAATACCAACGCAGTTTTTTGGTATTATACAATAGAAAAGGTTATCTAACGTCCAAGTTTGATGCCCTTCTTATCGTTCCCCATTTCTTCTCATTAAAAGTAAAATCTCATAATCCCATACTCTCAAAAATGCAACCTTTTTCATAGTGCAACTTTGGAAATTTACCCCCCTTTTTTCCCTTAAAGCACTTTAAAAACAACAGAAAACAGAATCTCAACGCCTGGATGCTTGCTATAAAATTACTACAATATCTTTTTCAAACAGCTTCTACTCTCTCCTCTTTATACAGCTAAAGAATGATAACCTAACAATGACAAATGACAAAATCAGATAATTCAATAAATAGACAATAAGTACTGCTAACATTTTCTCAAGGCAAAAGAAGCATAACAAAATATCCATATTCGCTTTCAACCGATGCTCTTGCAAGAATTTTCTAAAAACAAAACTCAAACTAATAAAATGGTTTTTAAAAGGGTTTTTAAAATATTAAAATGGCATCAGTTTTTCCAGGATATTTATAGAATATAAGATGAGTGGTATCTCCAGGAGTGAAGAGAGAGAAGGGGATGGAAGCAGTGTGAGAATAAAGATTAAGATCCAAATGAGAAAAGCCATAACAAATTACAACAACATGAAGCAAACAAATGTCAATTCGTGTGAAAATTTGGAATCCATTATTTTAAATATTTAGGAGGAATAAGTTCTCCAGAAAATCGAAAAAAACTAACACGCAGCATCAGAAGAAATTATTCCTCTTCCTCTGCCTCCTCCAGCCATTTAACAAAGGGATCCAGCGACTTGACAAGAGCTTGCCTGCCATAATTTAAAATGATATCACAATCTTTAAAAATAGAATATTGCTCAAGGAAGAAAATTTTTTGAAAGGACACTAATTCAATAACAGCTTCATTTCCTTTCCATAAAAACAGTAAATCAAGAAAAACGTAACAAATGCATACCTGCCCTTAGGGTTAGTTCCCTTACGGAACCAATGAAGAATGGTGTCTTCTGCCAGCACATCTTGGTCATAGAGGGACCTTATAATTTCTGGGAACAACTTCATCAGTTTAGCATCCTCATAGCACTGAACTTGGACTTTGTATATAAGCTCCAATTCAAGCTTTCCTGTTGTGCAGAATGTATTCAACAGCTGTGCCCATGTTTTCACCTGCAAAAAGAGAAGAAAAAAGGAAAAAAATGAGAAAAAGAAGAAAGGTGATACAAATTCAGAATTAACTATAAAGCACGATACAAATACAGAAGTAACTAGACTTCACAAGAGCAATGGAACTGCTAGCTATGCTGATTGATCTGATCAGTGTTGAGTGTTAGAGAAGCCAGAAAAGCATGCAAATATAGACTAATCTAACTCCTATGAGCTTGCAAATTTAGTTCAACAATTAATCCAACCTTGCAACACTACCCCTGTTGATTAAATTGGTCAATGATTGCCAATAATAGCTAGTCACCTCACATTTGACGGATTTCATTAAAACAGGACAAGCAATACTAAATTCTCGAAAATACAAGACTAATGAATTAGAAATGCATGCACAAATTAAAAGGAAGACTAAAAGGCCAGCCATGGCTAATTCGGCAGTTGCCTATCTTTATAACTCTGATACTTGTTGAGCAATGCTTCTTTGAGAACATTAACTTCCCAACCAACCAGTCATCATGCTTACTTCTTAATTGACATTTTAAATTTTAAAAAAAACTAGAACAATACTCTTATTCCTGGAACACTGGGTAAAGCGACTAGTAAAGAATGAGTTCGTTCATAGGTTATTTCTAAATTTTGAGGAAGGCTATCACCATGTATGTTCATTTACCACAATATGCAGCTTTTAAGATGTAAACTACCTGGCGAAGGGCCGAATTAGCATTTTGCTGTTGATTCTTCCCAGACCACTGCACAGCATCCATCAAGACATCCCACAGAATTCTCACAACTTCTATATCCGGCAGTTTAGCATCTTTGACGTGTTGCTTGACAGTTTCTATTACTTCAGAAATATTAGCTTCTTCTGCTATCTGAGTCGTCATGNCCCCCCCAAAAAAAAAAATAATCACGGTAACAGTACCATACTTGTTCAGTTTGAACACTACGTTTTAGTAGGATTTCTGCATCATATTTTACAGATTTCTTATCTAACAATAAGCTGTAAAACAGTATTGCAAATTCCGACAATTGAGTAGAACTATGAGAAAGACATACACCCTCTCCTAGACTTCAGATATTATGCTGCCACAGTGATGGGAAAATCAAGGCCAAGTGCCTTGTAGTGTTATCGAAATGATCTGAAGTAGGAAAAATGCATCCCATTTACAAACATAACTAAGATTTTGAGCGGAAAAAAAACTCAAATTAACTATTATACTATCTTAGCATATCCCCCATTCTAAAGGCAATGATCATCTTAGCTTATCCCCATTCTAAAAGCAATGTTCTTAAATTCACTATTATATTATGAAAGCTTGAATACATGAACCTCTAAATACAAGTTCCTGTGAAGGCAAGGGAATGGTGTACCAATGATAATCGGTTTGGGTTGACAAATCATTTGTCTAGAGAGGGTCTAGCTATAATAAGTGGATGCTTGTCAACGGTGTTCTTTATAGGTGAAATGAAGAACAGTTTACCATTAAGCATAAACAGTTGTAAATTCCATAATATTGCAAGATTATTACTTCCATATACAAATAAAAATCAGCAACAGTAACATTGACTGCTTCACAAGCTAACATTTATATCAGATATGTTTTAGTGAAACAAATATTACTGGATATCACAGGACCTGGTGAACAAGAAACTGAAAGGACAAAGCATCCAGGATAAATGGCATACTAGCTCACAAACATAATACGACAGAAAGTGTTGATTCTTAATGCGCGGTGGCCCCATTAACTTGATGAGACATCCTTTTTTATTCTCTTTGCTTTCATCAAATGAGAAAGCATCTCAGAGCACATGATGAAATCCTTTGACATTTTAGGCACTACGAACTGGATTACAACTTAAAGCAACTAGAATTTCCTCCTTAGCACCCAACCAAAGAAAAGAAAGCAAAAAGCACACTGCAAGAATTGATCACCTAGCTTAAGTCTTGTCTTCTCAAATCCTAGACAAAACACCTGAAGGTGCCCAAGCTCTGTTATTATTCACTCCCCCAACACCCCAATTTTCTTTTGTTTGTCCCAAAAAGTCACCTTTCTTTAAGTGGACCCCTAATATTACATTCAATTTGGTCCTTAATGATATGCTCATATAGGAGTTGGCATGATTTGTTGTGGATCCCACAAGAAAGTTTTAGTATATTGTGTATATTTGGCTTAATTTGTCGGAAGTCCTTTCTTTCTCAAACACCTTGTCTGGTTGAATGGTGCCAAACAAATTGCACAAAGGGACTATGAAAAATAAATGCTCCACTGCCAGAAGAAAACAAAAACGTTCAGAGGGCAGTGACTATGATGTGCTTAAAAAAAATGACATCCTTTCTAATGAGAAAAAGAAACTTTGTGTGCATAAGAATAAATAATAGAACGGGGCACATATATTTCTATAGGAAGAGAAGTATTAAACAACCTTCACGAAACATCATCATGAACTTCTTCCATCAGCCAGGATTAAAGAGAACATCTTAATTTCACAACAAACACTTACTATTACCATCCTAGGAAACCACATCAAAGTTATACGATCAAAAGGTCTCCAATTATTGCAACCTACATATTATTTCTAAAGCATAGCTCCAAAGTGAAAACTACAACAATCACTATACTTTGAAAAAACCCAATAAGTCATGACAACATACCTAATGGTACTTCAATGTAAAAAACATAACAAAGTGGTATTCAATTAACAGTGGTGACACTGATGATGACGATAAATTAAATTACCAATCTCCTCTCTAGAATCTCAAGTTATTGTTAAAGGGAAAATTACTCACGTGAAATGCTCAGAGACAGCTTCAGGTGTCCGCTTTGCCGAAGGGAAGAACTCCAAGAGATTACCTTCCATTTTACCCCGCTTAAGGATTGAGATCAAATCATCAAGACTGTTGTCAACCAAATATTCTTTAAAGAAGTCTGTGATAAATGAGAGGACTAGCCCTTTGGCAACAAGGTTATCTTTGAGCAATGGCTGGAAAACCGTTTCTGGCGGGAGGCCAGAAAGCTTCTGGGAAAAGGCAAGGGCTGTAAAAATTGCCAACTTCTTCCTCTCATTTTCCTCAAAGAACTCCAAACATTGCAACATTCTCCGCATAACATTTTCAAGATTCTTTATAAGAAACGGTTTTCTCCTCAATATCTTTTGCACGTAGATTACAGATGGCAAAATGACTTCACGTCTAGGTTCACACTCAATTACAGAGTAAGGGTGGCGGTCCCCTTCATCAGGTTTAATTGTTCCAGGTTGTGTACGCCCCCCTGTGAAGATAACCTGTGTCGAACCACACAGTAAATTGAAAGCATAAATGACGCAGCAATGAGTAGAAACTAAAGAACAATAATTGACATGTTATCCAATTAATATTTTTGATTGTTAAATTAAAGAATGAAAGCTTTTACAATATTGACATGTTATTCCAATTAAAGCATAAAACTCTCGTCATTGTTAAAATTTTAAACAAATGGAAGCAGCACTAGAATACTAATCTATCAAAAAAGGAAATATCATAAAACTTTCAGTATAGAAGAATAGCACATGACGAGTCTATAATCTAACTCAAATAATTAAAGCTATGGCATCAGGACACTGGAAAATAGCACTAACATTGAAAACAAAAGAAATAGTCATGCAAGGAAAATAGATCTAAATAAAGAAACTAAAAACTATATAATTCAATCTTAGAAGGCTAATAAATAAATAAATGTACTTTCTTTCCACCTTGAGTAATTCCTATCCATATGCACCTTAACAATAGTCCAATAAATATACTTCAAGAATGATAATTTTAGGAGAAATATAAAAGAGTTACCTCAAAAAGGGTGTCACCGTATCTTGAGAAGTTAAGGTCTGTAGACTCAATGCTCTTGGCAACAAGTTCCTGTGCATCATAAAACATATAACAAAGACTGAATGCAAATAACAATAGGATATCAATACAAATATGGAAAAGCAAATTGAATAATAGCATTACCAAATCACCAGCATTATCCAAATAAATTTGGACCACTGCATCCGCAAATGCTGCAGGGTCCAAAGGCTCTGCAATATTCCGTTTGCGGGTCTTAATCCGCGTACCACTGCAACGACAACAATAATCAATAAAAATAGTAGCATAAACTAACGTTAAGTACTATGAGAGGATGAACAAGGCTTACCCGAGAGTGGGTTTCTCCTTCGAGCTTTAATTCCACAAAACAAAAAATGAAAGACAAAAAAACAGTATTATTACAACCACACAAATGATAAAACAGTTAATATTTTAAACTCTACAAGTATCACTAAAACCATCACCAATACTACGAAATACATAAACAAAAACTGACCAATAAAACAAAGCTTGCTTTTTTGGTTGGTACGCAAAAATAAAACAAAAAAAATGCACATAAAAAATTGGCTTTAGACCAGCATCAGAGCTGAAACAAACAATTACTAAAAGAAAAAGAGTATGCAGTGTAATCGTACATCATTTATATGTAGCATAAAGGCATAGACGTAAAAGATCAAGATAAACAACTCAACATTTTCACATCAAAGAAGCAGCATGTCCCTAAGTTTTTTCAGTTTAGCATCAAAAATCAAAACAAAAAAAAGCAGCGAAACCTAACAATTTACACAATACCTACATAGTTTGGGATTAAATAGACCAATTTAAGAGACATTTTGGAGAAATCACACACACACACACACGACAGAATGATAGTAGATCCTAGATCCAAAATGATAGCAAAAGAAAAGAAAAACGAAGTTCCATAGGAAATGAGCAGATCCAAAAATAATACTTAGTACATAAGAAAAACTAAACATACCTCATAAACAAGGCAAGAGGAATCGAAGAAGATGCAGAGACTCTCTGCGCTTTGCGATGAGAAAAGAAAATTTAGAGAGGTGTAAGAAAAGAAAGAGAATAAGTTCTCCTGAAGCCACTGCTCAGATATTCATTTTATATACTAGAAAAATATATTAGGAAATTACCTTCTTTCTTTGATAAAATAACAAAACTACCCTTATATTTGAGGTAGGTTTAAGATAATCTCTAAAGTATATTTTTGAGCTTCTATAAATGTGCTAAAAATGGATATATTATATCTCGTGATTATTTAACGAATTTTAATAGTTAAGTTTTACAAGTAAAAAATATTGTATAATTTTCGTGTCAATATTTTGTGCCTATATCGTACAAGGAATTTGATCCGTTATTTTCCTTTTCATACGAAAATATTTTCTTGGTTGTTTAAATTATTTCACAACTATAATTATTTCATGTGTTAATTTTCCTAATATTTACTTATTTAGAATTTTAAAATCAGTTTTATTTATCGAATAAGTATTATTTGAACCATGTCAAAAGTCTTAATATATAAAATTTAAAATCAATTAAAATTTTAATCATCTTTTACATATTATTTTCTTAAGCAAATATTTAATTTATTTTGATATAAATTGCTATTTTTCAATAATTTGTTCTTCTTATATATAAATATATTTATTAATTGACACGACACACACATACAACGCACGTACACTAAAACTACGTAGTAATAATGGTCTGAAATCACTCTATAATAATTAGTTTTGAGCAAAAAATGAGTTAAAAATAACTATTAAATACTCTCCCTCGGAAATTTAATTTAGGACTTCTCATTTTTTTAGAACGAAGATACGAGATTTGAGATTTAGGAAAATTTTAGCTATTTGAATTTGCACTGTTCAAATTATATTGTCCCTTTATCCTAGTATGGTTGTACTTTACCGACATTAATTGGAATACTCACTTCATCTATTTTACAAGTACTCATTTCTTTCTCTCCGTTTCAATTTAAGTAAACTTATTTAATTAAGCACGAAATTTAAGAAAAAAGAGAAACTTTTGAACTTGTGGTATAAAATGAGTCACATATATTTTGTGTGGCTATAAATCATTACATAAAGGTAAATTGTTTCTAATTATGAGAAGGGGTCTTTTTGGCATGAACTAAAAAGGAGAAAAATTCACATAAATTAAAACAAATGGAGTATAATTTAAAAGATTAACACAATTTTTTATTTGGAACTTACTTAACCTCAATGTTTTTATTTTTTCTTATTGATTGACTTGTTATTTGTTAGCACTCCACTTGATATAATCGTTGATTTTTATTAGCAGAGATAAACATAAAATGAATACTTGAAGCTCTTATCATGTCTCACCTGATTGTTTGCAATAAGTTTAATTTTGATATTTGCTTCGTTTATCGAGACTTAATTTGAATGATCTTTAATGCTCAATTGGATTAGATCAACTCAATATTTTAAAATTAAAATTTAGATATTCAAAAATTATATGAAAAGTATTGTAAATTGCAAAAAATATATATTTTAAATTATTGATCAANCGGGCCCGGTCCGGTCCGGTTCAGGCCCGGCCCACCGAGCAGCATTAATCAAAGTTCGCATAGTTTGATTCTTGAAAAGAAAAAATGTTATATAAAATTGGGACAAAAGAAGTATATATCAAAGGGTCATTTGGTATAAGGGATAAGGATAATAATCTCGGGATAGAATTGAATTTTATTTATCTCATATTTTATTATAGGTATTAGTTAATTTCGGAATAAACTTTATACTAAAATAATAGAATTAATTATTCTATATAAAATATAAAATAGTTAATTCTATGGGATATTCTTATTTTATTCCACTATTGTACCAAATGACCCGTAAGGAATACATATTGGAATTGTGTGAGATGAGTAATGAAGGGTTCACGTGGTGAGATACCCTTCAATCCCTTGGTCTCTTAAATTTTATGTTTAGTTTTTTTTAAAAATTCTGTAAATAAAAAGATTAATGATTTACTAAAAAAGATTTCAAAAAGGTGTACTTGATAATAAAAAATTGTATTTACCAAAAAGAAGATTAAATCAATAAATAAAGTGTTACGCGGCAACAGGATAACAAGCGTGCCGAAAGTTTGGGGAAAGTAAGTGGGCTTTTGCAAAAGCTCAGCAATTGTCACGTTGGGCTTTTGTAAAGGTGGAGGAGTGAGGGTCCACTTGATAATAACAAGGAACACAAGACAAATCTTTGGCAAAGATTACTTTTAACTGGCGATCAAAATTATTATTTAGAACTTATTTATTAAATTTGTCCTAATTTTATATATTATCTGTCCAAAACAAGAATTGATTATAATTTATATACAATTCATTATTAGTATATTTAGGGGATTCAGTTACACCTTTTTCCTTTTTTCTCTCCTCTCTTCTTTCCCTATTCTCCACCACATCTCTCCATGTACAATCCATTATTAGTAGCTTAAATTAAGGAATTTAGTTATACTCTTTTTTTTTTTTTCTCCTCTCCTCTTTTCAATAGTGGTGGAGGTTAGGAGGGTGAATGACAGGATGATGACTATTAAGTTAGTTGTTGGAGGTTTTACTTTGAACATAATCAGCGCGTACACACCCCAAGCAGGCTTGGATGAGGAAATCAAGAGGCGTTTCTGGGAGGATTTGGATGAGATGGTGCGTGGTATCTCACATACCGAGAAGCTTTTCATAGGAGGAGATTTCAACGGCCACATTGGAGCGACGTTTGGGGGTATGATGATGTGCATAGTGGCTTTGGTTTTGGAGATAGAAACGGAGGAGGAACGTCTCTGCTGAACTTTGATAGCGCATTTGATTTAGTGATAGCAAACTCTAGTTTTCCGAAGAAGAGGGGGCACTTGGTCACCTTTCGAAGTTCGGTGGCCGAGACTCAGATTGATTATTTACTCTGTAAGAAGTTCGATAGAAGCCTTTGTACGGATTACAAGGTCATCCCGAGTGAAAACATCTCGACCCCTCATAGGCTCCTAGTCAAGGACCTTGAGATCACGAGAAAGAGGAGAAAGAGGAGAAAGAGGGCGATGTATAGCCAACATAGGATCAAGTGGGGAGCCTTGACGGAAGCTAAAGCGAAGGAATTGTGGGTCAAGCTGCTGACTATGGGGCTTGGAGGAGTAATAGGGATGCAAGCGTTATGTGGACCACGACTGCGCAGTGCATTAGATAAGTCGAGAGAGAGGTATTAGGGGTCTCAAAGGGTTACTCGGATGATCACAAGGGAGACTGGTGGTGGAATGGAGAGGTAAAAGGAAAAGTGAAAACTAAGAAAGTGGTGTATCTGAAGCTAGTGGAAAGTGTAGACGAAAAGGAGATGAAGGCGAATATGGAGCAATATAAATTTGCTAAGAAAGAAGCAAAACTAGCAGTTACGGCGGCTAAGACTACAACTTTTAGTAATTTGTATGAGGAACTCGAGGGTCGAGGCGGGATAAGAGGTTGTTCAGGTTAGCCAAGGCGCGAGAAAGGAAGGCTCGTGACTTGGACCAAGTGAAGTGCATCAAGGACGAAGAAGGTGGAGTTTTGCTGGATGAGGGGCTTATCCGTCGGAGATGGCAGACCTACTTCCATAGTCTCTTGAACAAGGATGGGGATAGGAACATTGTACTGGGTGATTTGGAACTCTCTAGGAGTCGTTGTGACTTTGGGTATTGTAGGCGGATTAGAGTTGATGAAGTGGAGGGGGCTATGCGTAAGATGAGCAGGGGCAAAGTGACCATGCCGGATGAATCCCGATGGTGTTTTGGAAGAGTGCGGGCAAGGCAGGCTTGGAGTGGCTCACTAAGTGATTTAATATCATTTTTAGAACGGATAAGATGCCCGAAGAGTGGAGGTGGAGTACGATAGTTCATGTGTACAAGAACAAGGGTGATATCAAAAATTGTAATAACTATCGGCTATAAAGCTACTTAGCCATATTATGAAAGTCTAGAAAAGAGTGATAGAGCTAAGGGTGAGAAAAAATGTGTCTATTTTCGAGAACCAGTTCGGGTTTATGCCGTGGCGTTCAACTACAGAAGCCATCCACCTTGTTAGGAGATTGATGGAGCAGTATAGGGAGAGGAAGAATGACTTGCATATGGTGTTCATCAACTTAGAAAAGGCGTATGATAAAGTTCTGAAGGAGATTTTGTAGAGATGTTTGGAGGCTAGAGGTATACCGGTTGCCTACGTTATGGTGATTAAGGACATGTATGATGGAGAAAAGACCCGAGTGAGGATGGTGGGTGGGGACTCGGACCATTTTTCGGTTATGATGGGGTTGCATAAGGGGTCGGCACTCAACCCTTTTTGTTTGCCCTGGAGATGGATGTACTGACGCGCCATATCCAATGGGAAGTGCTGTGGTGCATGCTATTTGCAGATGATATTGTATTGATTGACGAGACGCGAGGCAGTATGAACACGCAGTTAGAGGTATGTAGGAAGACCCTGGAGTCTAAAGGTTTTAAGTTTTGCAGGACCAAGATAGAATACTTGGAGTGTAAGTTCAGTGGTGAGACTCAAAGAGGGGAATGAGAGGTGAGGTTGGACTCGTAGGTTATCCCTATGAGAGGAAGTTTTAAGTGCCTTGTGGTGGGAAGATTGATGAAGATGTCACACATCGTATTGGGGCAGTATGGATGAAATCGAGACTCGCTCGCGGTATTTTGTGTGACAAGAAGGTGCCACTAAAACTTAAAGGTCAGTTCCACAGAGTGGTGGTCAGAGCGACGATATTGTACAGGGCTGAGTGTTGGCCAGTCAAGATCGCTCATGTCTAGAAGATGAAGGTATCAGAGATGAGGATGTTGAGATGGATGTGCGAGCACACCAGGTTAGATAGAATCAGGAATGAAGTTATTCGCGACAAGGTGGGTGTGGCCCCTATTGAGGACAAGATCCGGGAAGCGCAACTTAAGTTGTTTGGTCATGTGAGAAGGAGGAGCACAGAAGCTCCGGTGAGAAAGTGTGAGAGGTTGACATTTGAGGGCCTACAGAGAGGTAGAGATAGGCCAAAGAAAAGGTGGGAAGAGATGATTAGGCAAGACATGACGCAACTTCAGTTGACC